CGAGGTAGAACATAAAGTTTTTCTCAATACTGAACTAAAACTCCCACAACCGAATGAGACTGTCAACTTGACTAAACAGTTTGTACACCTCTGTGTTTTTTGTTTTTTGTTTTTTGTTTTCCGTTTTAAAAAACGCATTGATTTTCTTCTATAACGTTTTGAGTTTTATGAGAAAAGGCTAAACCTTTCCTGTCTGATTTTGTTGCTTCTTACTTTGTAGTAGATTTCTGTTGAACAAGTGTCATATATTTGGATGGAAGCCACCCCTTCTCCAAAATGCATATTTTCCACAACCCATTTGTTCAGTAATCGAAATTTGCTCTGGCTTTTGCAATACGCGAGGCACAAGCGGCATACTTAGTGTGCCTCAGCACATACTAAAGTTTGGAAAATGTTAAGTGCCCCAATACCATTTGTTGTGCTATTTTGTTCTTTTTGTTTACTTTTTAACTAAGGCCTTACGTGTTCTTGTTTGTAAAAATTGCCTAGTTGAGAGTAAAAATGCACATTTTCAAAGCGAATTTGTTAAAATGCTAGATCTAGATTTGCTATTTAATGCAACTTCTTTGCTATTTCCTGGCCAAGATTTTATCTGCAATCATAAAAAGAAAATGATTATTCCTTACTGAACCTGCTGGGAAGCCAATTTGATAGAAAGTGTGAAATGAAGTACGAGGGAGCAGCCTTATGCATCTGTAGAACCATCACGTTTGTTGTACTGTAAACATAGGCCTAATACTTGTACATGTATTGACTATAGAGCATTCTTCTAAAATTTTAGGAGCCTGGAAACTGAATTCTGTGTTTCCCGTTTTTATTATGTAAGAAAAAAATATGTGATGTAGCAACCTACGTAATGTGATGATACCATGAGCCAGACCTTGCACAATAACTGTGTGCTGACTTAACATTCCTTGAAGCAAATAACTTCTGTTGCTTTTTAATAATTTTTTTTCATTCGAAAGAAGAAGATAACATAAAAGCATGTAAAGCATTCAAGTCAATGTTGGAAAATAAAATGTCTGCCTCTCTTCACTGTATTATATTTGCTTGTCAGTCATCTAAAGATCTGGGTGGGCCAAAATTAATGTTATGCAATTCATAATTCATTTGGTGATCCATTCTTCAGCTCACTCAAGTTTTTAACCTCTCAGTCACTGTGGCTGATAATGACAAACGTGAAAAACAAGCGTGAAAATGATGATGCATATATAGTAAATCAATAATATGCCTTGAGTGTGATTATGGGTAATGTAAAAATGATGTATATATATATATATATATATATATATATATATATATATATATATATATATATATATATATATATATATATATATATATATATATATATATATGCGTACACTAAATTGTTCTAATATAAAAATAGTGTGATTAGTCAAGATCGTTTTTAAGTAGGCATCATATAGTTCCTTAATCCAGTAGAACCGTTACTTAAGCCATGTGTCATTTCTAGGATTTTATTTTAAAAAGCTACATTCGCATTTTTCTCTTGTCGTGTTTATATTCTACAGGCTACAGATTTGCAAATATTTTATAAAGTGTAAATGCATACTGTTCTTTCGTTGATAATGCTGAGAGTTAGAAAAAATATTTTTCGCAGCGACAGTTCTCTTGACAACAAAGACATTATGAAATTCATCTTGTAGTTCTCTATAATTTTTTTCGTTTGCTTCTGTAGATGTATTGAGAAACTTGATCATAATATTGCCTAATTTAATTAAAAAAGAAGAAAAAATCTACTGTCAAAATATCCTCTCCTTTTTTTTAACTTTCTCACATCTCTCATAAACACATTCCTGTTATTTTGGAGGGAAAGTAATCCCCGAGTAATCGAACTTGGGTACCCTGCACGCTACGGCAAAACATCAATCCCTACACCACATTGGCACAGACACCTGTCTACCTGTAGGCTGTAGATGACTTTCAAGGTAGAAGAAAGAGTATCTGGCTCTATATCACCCCCCTCTCTCTCTCTCTCTCTCTCGTAAATTGTGACTTTTGAATTATTGTTTGTTTCGCTGTACTTTCACCCCCCCCCCCCCCCACCCCAACACATTTTCCAATTCCGAAAAAAAAAACGAACAAAGAAACAAAAAAAACCCTAAAAAAACAACAACAACATCCCTTTCAGAGACCGATGGAGAGGGAAAAGTAACCCCTCGGGCCTCTATCCGTCTTTGCTCCCTCTGTGTTTATTCCTCCGACACATAAAATAGACCTTAAATCTTTCTCCTTACATCTCTGGCATTCCTTGAGATATATTACTGTCAATGCTTTTCTTTTTTAAAAATCAATGTTGGGAACTAGATCTATAAATTATATATTTTCCCACTGTACAAAGTGTCATACATTTTCGTTCTTTCAGCCAACTAAAGCACTGGGTGAATCAAAATTCATGTTTCTAATATTCATAAGCTTATCCATTCTTCAGTTCAGTAGATTTTTGTTTATACCCCCCACCGTCACTGGGACGAGTGATGACAAACATGAACAATAAGGGTGAAAATAATGACACTTGATGTATAAGTATGACTGAAGTGTGGATACGAAAAATGAAAACACGGTTTATATGTGCAATTTGTTCTAATACAAAGAGAGAAAGATCCGTCTATATCGCCATCAACATTTTCATCGTGTAATTCTTCAGTCCAGGAGAGCCGTCACTTGCGCAACTCGTCACTTCTAACTAAGCTTTTATGAAGCTATGTCCGCATTCTCTCCCAAGTTGTCGTGTTTGCATTCTAGACGTTACAAGTTCGCCAAAATAGTTTAATTTGAAGAAAGAAAAAAAAGCTAGGCCTATATGTTGTTCTATCGTGGTGATTATTGCTATGAGTGAGCAGGATAACAGTTTATTGTTAAGATATCTCTCTTGAAAACAAAGAATTACGAAATCCAAAGTGTAGTTTTCAATAATCATTATTCATTTGTTTCAAAAAACGGACTGAGAAGATTTTGTGTCGTTTAGCTGAGGTTCCGCCACGATATTTCTGGTTTAGTTGACGGTCTACTGCCCGGCCGGTCTGACAATCATAGTCATTACCACCGCCAAATTCTTTATCTTAACCGTACCCCAATTGTGGTAAACGCCACCATCTTTGATCTAAATGTCCCCCACGCGCGCGCGCGCGCGCGCGCGCACACACACACACACACACACACACACACACACACACACACACACACACACTCACTCACTCACTCACTCACCTCACACACACACACACCAGAGCTGACTTCATCGTGGCCAATCAGGCGGGACTTCTGCTGCGCGAGACGTTTTATTCGCACAAGACCCTGGTTGATCGGGCGGGACTTACGGTAGAGAGCCGTAGCGCGATAAGCCTCCAAACTAAAGGTATAGAGGATAATAATATGGAGGTTGGGGGGGGGGGGGGCGGAGTCAAGGAGGAGCAATAGATTTATGTCAACGCCAGTACGTTTGGCTGCTGACCGGTGGGTAGCGTTTTTGGTGATTGTCAATCCCCTAGTGGTCTTGAAAACAAAGAATAACGAAAGTCATCGTGTAGCACATTTTGTATTCAATAGAATTCGTTTGTTTCAAAGGGACCGAAAATGCTGCCGTATTGCTTCTTGGAAAGTAAAACAAGCAACAAAAACTTCAAACAAGCCCCCCCCCCCCCTCTCCCCTTCTACTTTCCCATGTCTCTCATACTTTCGTCTTTTTTAAAAACTATAGTATATGCAGCTTTCACAATTTTACAGGAGAAACCAAAGCGCTAAATAAGTCTGAATAAGAAACGAGAAAACATTTGCTTCAATGGTAATAAGGAAGTTTTCATCAAAATAATATTCTTTAAAATATTGACTTGAAATGTTTGCAAACCAGGTGATCGCCGCCCCGTTCCTACTTTTTAGAAATCATGAATGATTATCTTAACTTCGACATTCAAGCTAGGCCTTGACTTTTTTTTTAGTATTCTTTGTACAGTTTGATGCTTTTACACCGGCGTCTGTGGTGTTGTTGTTGGGCTTCGCTGTCGCACACAGGATTTCCGAGGATTGGTCCTGATAGGCACAGTCGGAAACCCGCCGCCGCCGCCTAAATATGACCTAAATTGTTTCGATAGTGGTACAAAAAGACCAATTTTTCTGTTGTATGAGACCTTTACATACCTGAATAATAATCCTAGATTTTAATTTCCCGAAACCATTACGATTTGGAAAGATTGCTTTTCCGAGGATCATTCCCGCTTCGTCTGGAAGTAAATTCCTTCATTATGGGATTATGTCTGGCTTAAACAAAAGTCTTTTTTGAATCCATGTAGCTATAATGTAGACCTTTCTGTACTTCAGTAGGCTGCATAGATGTATCTTCATGAACTTTGTCAGGGTGAATATAACATTGTGTGTACCTTTGCCCGAAAAGGAATGCCAATTTGTGTTGTATGTATATTATTTGGTTTGAAACTTTTAGGTAACTGACGAGAAAAAAATCAGAATAATCTAAGCAGAGAACTGAGTCACAAGTCATGATTGCCGGTGTCTATTTCAGACTTGGCACTTAATAATAACCTCGTGGAGTCTTCAAAGCACTTTAGTTTTATAACATAACACTTTGAAGGGGAAAATACATCAATGTCCGTGAAAAATTAAAGAAAAAGATAACACACAGGACGTATATCTGTTCCTAAGATATGGAACTCCAAAATTTAAACTCTAAGATTTCTCTATATCAGCAAAATGTGACTGCTCCTGACTTTTTTTTACACTCTCAGCCTTCATAACATTATGCGTCTCGACTCGATGGAATCAGGCGCACGGTAATTTTTTAAGTTTATCGTATCATTTTGATACCATCTTAAAACGAGTTCATTTGTCTTGCTTTTGATGAAAAGAATATTTATCCATCTTGAATAGTAGTCGGGCTTTTTGGGATTGAGGGGTATATGGGGGTCGCCTGGTGTCCCAGGTAAAACTAGCGAGAAAATGGCCACCACAGTTCAGTGTCCTATGAAATTGCAAATTTACTTTATTTGTGTCTTTTCTTAACGCTTTGAAGTAAAATTCACCAAGAAATCTGTATTTAAACGGGCGTAAAATATGTTGAGCCCCCCAAAAGAAAACCAGCAAATAAAATTGCTCAAGGGGCGGGAAAAGGCCGGTTTCTCGGTTATTTTTATCCTTTTTTTTACGAGCGCCTGATTTTACCACGATGCTTCGTTTGTTACATTGTGCCGATTGTTGGTTCTTGAGTGTGGCGCCCACCGTCATGCACAGGACGTCCCTTTCTGACTGTACTTTGGGGTTAGGCTGCGCCCCCACCCCTCCCCTCCCTGTCCATGTTTCCCTGCTACAGCCAGTATATACACAAACAATGCAGAATCTTTGCAACATCTACAGAATGGTGGCGAACGTACTGACTTTGTATCTTTTTATAACGTTGATTATTTCTGTTCCTGTCCAATCGTTTGACTACACATTTGTCATTTTAATTTTCTTTTCCCAAAAAATCAGATGAAGGTTCATCTGTTGACAAGGTGGAACACAAGCCCGATAGCGGAGGCAATTCGAACAACACAGATTCTAATGGTAAGCAAAACTGTTCATTTAGCCCACACCTGAATTCTTGAAAATAGTCCTGTCTGGTCACTTGGCGGGGCAACTTATTTGTAAATCATTATCTTCACCACAATAAAGTTCTTTGATCTTGACACCGCAAAATGAAGTCATCCACCCACTCACACGTCACATCTTAAAATAGAACTTTGAATAATTCATGCAAAATCATCACCTTTGGTGAAATTGTTCCCGGGTTTTCTTTTATTAGAAGTTCCAAGCCTAGAACTGTCTTCCAATACCAATGAAGACATCGAGTCCAGCACAATAACTGACAACGATTGTTTGGCTACTGAGTCAAATTATCTGTTCTCCCATATACACATATTCTAAATTATTTGTCATAATCATGGCTCAACCTGTCAACTTCATTTTAAAATGTTTTGCTTGAAACTGCGGTTCATAAATTATACTGAATCATAGTCATTTATGCTTGGCTAAATGACCTTTGATGGCTGTTCATATTCCCTTAGTGATCTGAGAAAAACTAAATGAATAATTAAAACAATTTTAGACAAACATTTTTTCGAGGTTATGTTTATAAAAAATACGCCTATTTGACTATTACCGTTGTTTCTTTTCGTTTACGGATATCTCATTTTCTCGTAATTGATAAACAACAGAGAAGGATAAAAATTTCAAGAGAAAGAAGTGATCCAGGTCATGTTTTTAACTGTACACTCATTCGACTGTTAACCGTTTTTTTTTTTTTTTGTTTTTTCCAGATGTTCCAAGCAATGGTGCCACCGCGAATGTTGGAGACACAGGGTCGGGTACAACAGACGACAAACACGATCTAGTTGTTGGTAAGATACTTTGTCTGTTCATACAAACTTTTGTAATGCTTTGACTAAGAATGTCCAAATTTTTTTCTTTTTCTATGATGTGTGCGGAACACGGAAGGCCATATTATGCGCTCATATAAATTTATGCAGTTGCGAGCGGAGTAAAGCCTCTACTAAAACAAATAAAAGAAGGCCATATTTTTAACAATACGCCTATTTGACTATTGGCCGTTGTTTCTGTTCGTTTTCAGATATCTCATTTTTCCGAAATTAAAAAAAACAATAGACCGAGTTGATTTTAAGGAAAAGAATAGTCCGAGATTATGTTTTTAATTTTAACAATACACCTATTCGACTGGTAACCGTTGTTCGGTTGTTGTTTTTTCAGATGTTGCAAACAATGACACCACCCCGAAAGTTGGAGACACTGGGTCGGGTACATCAGACGACAAACACGATCTTGTTGTTGGTAAGTTATTTTGTCTGTTCATGCACACTTTTGCCATAGTCATTTAAAATGATCAATATTTTTTCCCCCGTTAGATTATCTATGTGTACCTGGCACGGAAGTTATTGCAACTTGTAGTGACTAGATGTATTAAGATTAGACTTGGTGTTGTAGCATGTCTAGGCCTTTGATAATTCTCTTGAAATCAAAATTAATTGTCATCAAAATATTTCAAGATAATCACCTTCGTTTCTACCTTCTTTGGATCGGCTGAGTGACTGTTGAAGTTAGATTTTTTAAAAATATTTATGATTATAAATAACAATATACAACGGTAGCTGTTTCCAAGAAATAGAATTGTTTATTTTGTTTTAAATACTACACTAATTTGACTGTTAACCGTTGTTCGTTTGTTTTTGTTTTTGTTTTTAGATGTTTCAACCGACAAGGCCGATAAGAATGGTGGAGACGGGGGATCCGGTGCAATAGACGACAAGCACGATCTCGTTATTGGTGAGTTACTTTGTCTGTTCGTACAAACTTTTGTAATGCTTTGACTAGGAATGTCCAAATTCTTTTCATATCTATGACGTGTGCCGAACACGGAAGACCACATTTTTAATAATACGCCTTATTTGACTATTGGCCGTTGTTTCTGTTCGTTTTTAGATATCTCATTTTCCCGTAATTTATAAACAATTGACAAAGTTAATTTTAAGGAACAGAATTGTCCGATGTTATGTATGTTAAACAATACACCTATTCGACTGGTAACCGATGTTCGTTTTTGTTTTTTCTTCAGATGTTCCAAGCAATGGCGCCACCCCGAAAGTTGGAGACACAGAGTCGGGTGGAACAGAAGACAAGCAAGATCTTGTTGTTGGTGAGTTACTATGTCTGTTCATACAAACTTTTGTCATAGTCATTGAGTAAAAATGTCCCAAGTCTTTTTTTTTTTTATGATGTGGGCTTTAACACGAAAATTGTTGCAAATAGTAGTGACCAGATTTCTAATGATAAGACTTGGTATGCAAACACGACTAGACCTTCGATAATTGTTTTGAAATCAAAATGATTGTCATTGCCTTTTGCCAAGATAATCATCTTCATTTCTACCTTCTTAAGATCGGTTGAGGTTACGGTTTGATATTATATTTCCTGTATCATTTTATTTTAAAGTATGATTAGAAACAGCAGTAGAGGATGGTAACAATTCCAAGAAAAATAATTGTTCGAGGCTTTGTTTTTCACAATACACTATGCGACTGTTAACTGGTTGTTCATTTGCTTTTTCAGATGTTCAAAGCGATAATGCCACCAAGAATGGTGGAGACACTGGGGCAGGTGCAACAAAAGGTAGGCACGATCTTATTGTTGGTAAGTTACTTTGGCTGTTTGCACAGACTTTGGCAAAAGTCATTGATTAAAAATGTCCTTTTTTCTATGATGTGTGCTTTACACGGAAGTTATTGCAACTAGTAATGAACCGATATCTAACGATAAGACTTGGTATGCCAGCACAACTACAACATCTATAATTGTCTTGAAACCAAAATTATAATTTTCATTGCATTTTGTCAGGATAATTACTTCCGTTTCTACCTTCTTTAAGCTGTTTGAGTGGCTTTTGAAGTAGGACCATTATTCATTACGGTTTTAAAATATTAATGATTTTATTATTATAAATGACACAAGACAACGGTAGCAATTTTAAGAAAGTTGCTCGAGGTTGTGTTTTAACAATTTATCTATTTTACAATTACATTTGTTCGTTTGCTTTTTCAGATAAGGCAAGTCAGGAAGCCACCGCTTATGAAGGAGACGCAGAGTCCGATGCCAAGGAGAACAAACACAATCCGGTTGTTGGTAAGTTTAATTGTCTTTGCGACAGTACACACTGACTTTTTTTTCAAAAATCACGCTTTACTTTTCACTTTTCCCGGTCTCTGTTCCCTTAAGTTGTCCATAGGGGAAACCAACGTCCTTGCCTTATGTTCTTGTTGTTGTTGTTGTTTTTTTGTATTGCCTGTAGCATGGCGATGTTGTTCTTGGTTAATGTTTCTCTGACCCCCCTCTATCCATCCTTCCCTGGGACTGTCCCTTCCTCGGTTTCCATCTGATCTCTCGCTGTATACATTCGCTGCTCTACTGTCTAGAGGTAGTCTTGACAGGACGTGCCTGAACCTTTTAATTCGTTGTTTTTCTTCGAGTATGTAAAGCAAGCGGCGAGTTGAGCCAACTTGTTCTGTTATGGTATCTTTTCTACCAAGTCTCTTCTTGTGATGTTCAAAATTTTTCTTAGCCATCTCATTTCGCTCGCGTTGATTTTGCTTTGTCGGTTCTTGGTTGCAGTTCGTGTATGTGCTTGGTAAGACAATGTTGGTATGAAAATGCTGTTGATAAGATGGCGCTTTATTCCCATTGTAATGTTAGAATGTGAAAGTAATGGTGCCAGTTGGTAAGTCTCAGCATTGGCCCTTTTTCTATTGGGGTTTCTGTTTCTCTGTCCGTATTTTCGCCTTGGGTAAACAAACTGTCAAGAGGTGTATTTCAATAATCGTTGCACAAAATGGCTAAGTCTTTTAATTATTTTAAAATATTCCCCCAATCTGTATGATATGTGCTTTATATAGAAGTTATGCCATGATAATTACCTTCGTTTCTGTCTACTTTGATAGGTTTATGCCTTGTCACTTTTGAAGTTGGATCATAATATTCCCATTATAGTTTTTAAAAATATGTATTATTATAAATAACAGTAGACAGAGAAAAAAAAATAATTTAAAAAAATGCTCGAATACATATTTTAACACTTCAACTTTTCGACCCCTAATTGTTATTTGTTTATATTTTCAGGTGTCTCAAGCGTGGATCCCACCTCTAGTGGAGACGTGGAGTCCGATGCAACAACCCACAGACGCAATTATCTTTTTTTTGGTTTAAGTAAGTTAAATTTCTGTACGTGTGAACGTCACAAACTTTTGCAATCATCACAGCACAATATGCCCATATTTGGTTGGGGTTTTTTTTTCCTTTTGCATGATGTGTGCATTACAAAGTAGATGCTGTAACTTGTGGTTTAATTTCTAGTTATGACCAGATTTTTAATACTAACTCTTATTATGAGTGCATTACTCGAGCCTCGATTATTATTGTATTGATATGAAATTGTAATAGCATTATGCCGCGGGCATTTAGATATTAAATACGAGAAAAGCAACCAACCAAATAAGTACAGTTAACAAGTAATAAATGCGTGACAACAGCAAGATGTTGGCTTTTACTAAGAGAGCTGGCTAACTTTGTCATGAAATCTTTCACGTCTACTTTGAATAAATCTTTAAAATATAAACTATCTTAAAAAACTATGAAATAACCTTGGACCATATTCATTCAACGTCTCGAAATCAATTATAGTTCATGTATAATAACAGTACTTTGGTAAAAGGTTGGATGAATGCTGACGTCAAATCATGTTACGATGGGGACTGCGAGAAGAAGAAACATTTCAGGGAAGTATTTTACTGTATCAAATATGCAATATTATTTACGAGTAACTGCAGAGTTTTTTCCACACATTTTTCGGCCAGCCATTTGAGGATCTGACTTCTTATAATAACGAAATCATACCAATGCAAAAAAGCAGCGTTCAAGGCTTTGTTTTCAACAGTACTTTTATTTTGTTATTAACTGTGTGTTTACTTGCTTTTTCAGACATCTCAGTCAGGGAACCTACCTTTGATGCGGAGTCTGTAACAGACTACATGAAAACAGTTACTTCTGGTATGTCAACGTTTTTTTAAAATAAAAAAATAATCACAGAATTAATCATCAATGCCTTTCACCCCTGGCAAGGTATAGGCCACATACAAACTCCTTCCATTTATTATCTCTGCCCTGGGCCATCCTTCCCAGCTTGTTCCAAGTGAACGAGGAACAGAAATACAGGCTTTTTTATATATAGTGTAGACACCCCCAACCCGACCTCATTTCAAACTGTTTGACCTACTGTACAATTTTCGGGGTCGCCGTGTCTTTGTAATACAATATTTTATCTTACTTGGCCAGGAAACTGAGGACTTACTCAGGACTGCTATAGTCGTGGTGGTTGAAGACAACAGGAATTGTATTTGTACGCCAATGGCAAAACTTTTAATGTCTGAGTTTATATTATTGATAGTATGATGTCCGCTTCAGGAAGTGTGTACATTCTCCTTCCCTTTATAATTAGACGGTTAGCAGACGGATCTGTAGATTGAGAGTTGGGAGAAAAATAAGTATATGGGTTTAAAGCCTCTGTCAAATAGGTTATATAAGAGCAGGGCCTTCGAAGTCCATTTCCGATAGAATCGAGCCAAATCAGCTGGGAGCCTTGAAGATTGGCACAATGACTCGACTTTAAGAAAGCACTGACTGGGATTCGAGACAGCGCCATTCTCTACGTTGTTTAGCATGATACCAACTGAATTAACAGAGCACCCACCGAATAGTGTTTCGAACTTGTCTTTAAAAAAAAAAAAACAAGGGAAAAAATAATTTCATGAAATCGAAGTGATATGTAGAGGTCAGAACATCAGAGCAGCGCACTTCGGACAAAAAACTATCAAGACCGCACAATATCAGAGCCACACATTTTTTGATGATATTTATACAATTGGTGATTACCAAAATCAGCACGATCCAACAATATTCAAGTCCCGTCACTGCCCATTTGAGAAGTAAAACATTCTAGCCTTGTGTCCGTCATGTTGATCGAGAGAAGAATGATACTGCTAGTACACATTTCTTCTATCGTCGTGATACAACTCCCCACTTATTATTATCTAAATAATTTTTGGCACGCTCATTGTACTCTAAGGGCTCAATGAAAGAAACAAATCCTTAAATGTTCATTTAAGATGTAAAGAATGTTGCAGATTTTAAAACCAGTTTTATTTTTCCATTGCAAGAGCACACGTTACTCTCTTTGTCAACTGACTTAAATTTAAAGTACATGTAGTTCTTGACCATTGACCCTTAATTTCATGGAACAAGTACGGAGGAATTTTATCAAAGGAACTGCAAGCGTTGGATGAAATCAGCTATCCAATTGTATCGATATCGTCAAAATATCGGCTCTCATATAGCGCGGCTTTGATAGTTGTTTATTTTTTTTTCGAAAGTGCACAGCTCTGATGGTTTCCCGTGTAGAGATATAAATTACTCTACTGGTGATAAAAGATTAATTATATTAATTTTAGTAAAGTATAGTCTTCCGCTCTGTTGTATCAATTGTACACTTGTGTAACTGTTATTCTGATGTTATTTTCAGACTTTGAAAGCAATGGTGTGACGAGTGATTACGATGGGTCCCCTGCAGAACTCAATGGATACAGTGCTGCCCCTGGTATGTCACATCGTCTGTTACAAAAAAACAAACAAGGAGCAAACAAAAACGCAACCAACCAACCAAACGAAAACTTAACAAACCAAACAAAAAATACCCTGCTGCCCCCCCCCCAAAAAAAAAACAACAACAAAAAAACAACAACAACAACAACAACAAACGACACCTTCTTTGTGAGAACAGAATCTAAGCCGTAAGAGAGGCCACTGGTGTGGGTGATTTCCAAAAGATTTTTATTTTAGAAAAGAATTCCTGGTATTTTCCAGCTTGTACGGGGCAAATGTGGTCGTGTTGTAAACATGTAAGGGTAACCATCTGTGGCTATAATAAGGATTTCTAATATATAATTTTTTTCTATCTTGACCCCCACCCCTTTCCAAAAATTGTTATCAATATTATACATCTATAAAGTACATTTTCTAACGGTTGGGTTTTTCATATAATTTTTCCTTCCAGGCTTTGAACGCAAACAGCTATTCGGACAGAAGGTAAACCCTAACACAGCCAACCGTTCAAACCAGGTGCCTGTCAGGCAAAAGCTGTATCGGCCACCACGTGACAGTTTGGGCAGAAGTCGCCCGTTCTTGAAGGAACCCATCTGGTGTCTAGAACCAATCTGGGAAGCGCAATGTAAGTAGACACGGATTTTTAGTAACCTAAGCTTTAAATTTGAGTTCCGTTTGCTGTTATCTTGATGTTTTAGCTGTTCTTTACTGGAACATAAACTGTTAATATTCCTTCATAACAAATACTTTCATTAGTATTTTTGTACTGTGATTGTGGTATGGCCTTTTGACGGACGGTCTCAAAGCAGCATACAGATACAGCTTTGCCTGGGTGGTTGACACAGAGGAAGTAGATTGCCCACGTAGCTCTACCATTTCCCTCCATTCATAATTGTCTTGACTTCCTGGATGTGCTCCTCGGAAAGATAATGATACGGTAATTCCGTATGGAAACAAGGGAGGTGATGTCTTACTATTTAACAGGTGTGATTGGGATACTTTTAAAGTAGGGAATTTTTAAAATTTGGAATTTTGCCCGTATGGCCACTTGATTACTACTCTTCAACGAAATTCAATCATCAAGGGATTATTGACGTGCACTCAAGATCCTTTTAAAAAAACTGTAAAAGAGAAAAGATTAAGAGAAGAAGAAGAAAAGGTGCAATGAATAAACATCTAGATCATTGCTGAGAATGTTTCATTCAGATCTCAGATTTAGGGTCCGTTCAGACGTTTACTGATTGATGACTGAATCTTTACTGATTTTTAAATGTACAAGTATTATGAATGTTCATTCATTTTCATACATCACTCCCATCGGTATCTTTGTAGTAGATATCGCAACTAAATTTTACGAATGTGACCGTTTTTTTATACTTCGTAAGGCTTATTGCTTTCTGGAAGTCACATTCCGATTTCAGAGGTACTCTAATGTAATATATTTTACTGACCACATTCAGTTTTCGTCGGATTTGATTCTGAATTTTGCTCTGGTGGCGGCCGATGCCTACTCTTATAGATTTTGGAAAAACCAAGAGATTTTTAACGTGCGCAACTTGTACACGGTACCGCTGAGATTTCTCGCCCTTCTCTGAGAAGGCTAGGTCTTCGAGCTCACCTACCCTAAGATCAGGGGTGTAGTTGAAAGGCAGCTATAAGGAAGAGCCAGTACATGTATTAGCAAAGAAAGAGTCAGTAGTAAAGGGGAGAGGAGCACAGAGGAGGCTGGAGGGAGGGTGGGTTGGGTGGGAGAGGGGTTATGAAGTGGAGGTGAGATGTTTTTGAACTGAAAGGCGAGCACCAGGTTGAACTGGCAGCATGGTCGGAGTCTGCCTCTCAAATTATATCAGTTTTGTTGTCAGGGGCGTATAAACGTCGACTTCTTAAATATAAAAACAACAAACTCAGCAGCCTAACTCTTCTCTTTGCTAACAACAAGATATATATTTTCAAGCCTTTTCTTTGAGACCTTTTCAATATTGATGTGGCTATTCTAGGCAGCACAAGTTCAGTATATTATTTCTGTACCCCCTTTTTATTGTACATACGAAATTACTTTTCTAAGTATACCTCACAACTTTCCCCTCAAAGAATACATTGAATATCTTTACGGGAACAGCTGTTTCATTTCACAGCTTTCGCTTAGTGACACCTGCACAAAAAGTTATGTTTCAACAACTGATGCAATTGACTACATTATGCTCTCAAATATTTTCACAGCGCCAGTATACTAATGGTGCAGTATGGATTTCCAATGACGGTATGGAACGACAGTGACTCTGAGGCGGCGGCCACATCTCGCAAACCAGTTGTGAGACGTCGCAACAAGAAACACGGATACTCAGGAGCAGCTAGAAACAAGGATACTCAGGAGCAGCAAGAAACAAGGATACTCATGAGCAGCTAGAAACAAGGATACTCAGGAGCAGCAAGAAACAAGGAGCCACGAGAACAACAAGGAACAAGAGCCCCAAGTCAATGTCAGAGGGACTCGGAGCCAAAATCACAATTATGTCGAGATATAACACTACCATTTTTTCTTCAAGAAATATTGTGTACACTGGTTATATTTCGTGATAATGACTTTTAATTTTTGAACCCTTTAGGAAAAGCATGTTGACAGCACATTTATTATAAACCCCTTTGGCAAAACACCATTTCCTCCAATTTTTCATAAAGATCTAGAAAATATTCTTTAAGAAATATTGTCTTTACATTAGTATAGGAAAACTGTTACAAGTGAATTTCTGAAAGACTTGATCAAGAGTGAATTAATTGTTTAGATCTGTTGAGAATGTAGAATATTTTGTGCGAGTGACTGAAATACGCTGTTCTGTCTCTTGGTCAGCAATGTAGGCTAGTGTTTCATATTGCAGAAGAAAAAGAATTTCAGTTGTACTTTGAAATACGACAGTTTTAATGAGTGAGAAGTGAATAATCTTGCTCGCCCTGACTAATATTGTGCTGCTCACTTTTAAAATCTTTAATTCAGTGTGCTGTGAACATGTATACGTACATGTATACACCTATACATCATCATCAGTGCCTTTCACCCCTGGCAGGATATAGGCCACATACAAGCTCCTTCCATTTATCTCTGTCCTGGTCCATCCTTCCTTGCTCGTTCCAAGTGAGCTTCATCTCTCTCATGTCCCTTTCTACACATGTACCCCCGGGGCAGTGCCACTGACTGTAGTGTCTTTATGCCATTCCCAAAAGGGGGACATTTCTCGTGCAAGCATAGTAGAATTGTAAATGGGCTGACTCATGTCACGTTCATAACTGTGCCTGATCTACAACAGGGAACTGCTGCTTTTTCTTTCCTGATCCTTACTACATGTATTGTCATTTTCCTCTACTTCTTTTGTATGTTTGTCACTCTCTTGTGACCTGCTATTTTGGGGTGTCTTGATAGTCGAAGCAGACCTTGTGCTGTTGAAACTAGAGAGGTGAGCAGTCCAAGTCTGATTCACTGTAAAGACTTCTCTTTTGACACCCACCCCTTGGCGCTCATATGACCTTATGCAGTTGCGAGCGCCGTAAAATCCTCTACTATTAAAGAACATTATTTCTACACATCTCCTCCATGTTTCTCGTGGCCTACCCCTGCCTCGTGCACCCTGTGAGTTCCATATATATACCTATACGCATGTTCGTTTTTGTTTAGCTTGTCAAACAGAACTTCGTGATCTGTTAGGCAACACACATTCTGTGTTCATTGTCGATATTCTTGTCATTGACATTTGTGTTAATAATATGAATTTTGTGAGTAACGTAACAAAAAGTTTTGTGATTTTTCTTCTTCATAATACTTATTTTTGTGTTTAGCTCTATTTAAAGAAAGCAATCAACACATTACCACTAGAAATTGCATGAACACAAGTTTTAGTACTACAACACACAAAATACAACCTTACAAATCCAAGTAACACTTTTCATTCAAATACAGCAACACCATAGCGAAGCCGTCATTAAAAAACAACGACAACAACAACAAAGAAACAAAAACAAAATACCGTAACTTTTGCTACCCAAAACATCCACCCTGCACTAAAATACCTTTAAAATGCATGCGTCACCATGGTGATGTTTGTCTTTAAAAGGGTGTAGAAACATGTGGCCTTTCACATTAAGCTACATACTTTAAGTAGGGCCTACATTATGTAATTGAATATGCATATACTGTACATGTATATCATACGAAAACATCGATTAGAATATCATAATTCACATGGACAAGAAAATAGGCTACATTTTATTATAAAAACCATTTTCAAAAACGTTTGATTGTCGAAATCTCAAACTACACTTCTCAGACAACTGATTAACACACACACAAATACCCGCTACTCTTTCAAGCATCTGCTGAACCGCTCTGTCTCATTTCATATACATTAGACCGCCTTTTCGTACTGTTTTTTTTTCAGGAAATTCTTATGTGCATGCATTTGTGTGGAAAACGTTGTTTTGATACTTTCTTTTATAAAGCCACTGTCTTTCCTTGGTATATTTTGCCAAACTTGAAATAAACTTTAAAAAAAAAGATGCATTGTTCATTAATTTGTTGTGGTACTTTTGTGGTACTTTGTGAGGGATTCTGTCTGCTGCTGCAATTGGTAGATATGATAAATGGATTTTAAAAGAAAATTCTGCAATGAATAGCTCTAATGAATTTTTTGTTTGTTTGGTGTGTGTGTGTGTGTGGGTCTTCTCTTACAGTTTTAGAAAAAGATTCCTTCTTCTTTCCAAATACTAAGAGGGAAGGCCACAAGTAGCCTATGGAAGGATTTTTAAAATAAGTTCATGATGTGACGTAGGCCTACTATAATAATAAAAATATCAAATTAGACCAAACTTTACTGGTACTGTTGTCGCCTTGGTCAGCTGCAGTCATGACGAAAGAACTAAAAATTACGGGTACTTTTTCATGGAAATTTTGGGTGTGTCGAGGGAAATTACTGCTAGATGTAACAGAATTTACATTCTTCCACGACATAGCTTTCTTTTTATTATGCATGAAACAGGCTTGTTTTCTTCTGGTTGTAATCGCAGGCGGAGATACGTTTTATAAGAGTTTATGAATATGGTCCAAAACTTGCTTAGGATATTGGTAACACTGGCTTCTAAACACCAGTGAATACATCACAGATCAGGGGGTGGGTGGTTGGCGGGTGCTCTGGTGTGGTTTGCTTCTTCATTCTATCATCTTTATCTCCCCTCCTTCTTTCTTTGTGTTTGTTTCTCCATTGTAACACCTCTAATCTTCGGTACTTATATGACCTTATTGTGTTGCAAGTGCAGTAAAACTCTTACGAAAAAAAATCAGGGTGGATGTCCCAAACTGAACGACTTGTAGCTTAAGAATTGTTTAAGCTTTGCACTAAGCCTCCATCTCGCCAGATTGAATCTGATCTTAAGTGAGGCGATTTAAATCACCCACATAGGAGATGGAGTGTTCTGAAATTTGCGTTGGCACTGAAACGTGAAAGACTGTCATTCCCCACATTAAGTGGGTCCAAGATATGTCGAAGGTCAGTGGTAATTTCGCAAATGAAAGAAAGATATCTTTACTGTCGAGGGGAACAGTCAGTTTGGCTTTAAATCATCATCACTGCCTTTCTCACCCTGCACTTTCCACATTTACTTAACCAGAGCAAGACCCTTAATGTTATTCCATGTCTTCCCATTTTTCTGTACCTCAATCTCTGTGGCTCTTCTCAATGTTCCACTTGATCTTCCCCTTGATCTTTACCCTGTGGATTGCAATCCAGCACTTTCCTTTTTGTACAGCTGCCTGACTTCGTGGGAGTTTGTCCAATCCAACGCCACCACCTTCTCCCCTTTTCATCCCTTTCTGGGCTCTGTCTTGTTCTCCTCAACACTTCATCGTTGGTGACTCTGTCTGTCCATCTGATCCGCAGTAAATTTCTCTGACACTTGTTATAAAAAAACCCTTGATCCTCTTTGTGCATGTCTGGGATGCGTTCCGTGTCTCACCTCCATACAACAAGACTAACTTCACATTTGAGTTGAAAATCCTCAGCTGTTCTTTTTCGATGCGGGACTTCAGCACCCGTTCCGTCTCCTCTGTCAATTATTCTCTCAAGATAGAAGGATTCAACGTCTTCTATAGTGCGGTCAAAAATCCGTGGTGCAGCTTATTCTCAAATATCTCTTTAACGGGCGAATCAAAGTCATCCATACTTTGGACAGCAGTTTGTATCAATTTGTCTTAACTAAATCATATTTTCCCAGAACAACTGGGGCTGAATTAAAAAATACTTTTATTCATAAAATTATATAAAATACTTGAAATCTCTGTCACAAGTAAAATTGGTCACAGTACTTCCCGCTTCTCACACACATTTTGATTTCGCATATTATGGTCTACGTCACAGCTCATCAATAACCATCTTTAGTAGCAAAACTATGTCCCAAGAAATTAATTTTATCGTGAACAAATTGTTTGCACCAATGGTTCTCAAAAGATGCGTTCAATAAGCATAATGTCCAGTAGAAAAACAAAAATGACGGACTTGCTATTTAAAGCAACATTGCTCCAGCTGTAAACCTTTAAAAATCTGTAGAAACCACCCACTTGGATGTTTTCTTAGTATTTATCAAGGAATTTTCTAGAATACAGCTAGCAGGTGTTTACAAAAATATTGATCTGTTCAAGACAAATTGATACAAGATATTGTGCAAAAATTGGAGAACCTTTGTTCGATAGTTAAGGAGATATTTGACAATAAGTTGCGCCAGGGTTTTTGACCGCACTTTAGTGCATTTCCTTCTATTGTGACTTGCTCCTTTTCTGGTGCATCTATCCTTAGGACCTTTGACTTTCACGCGTGAAACCTCAATCCAACAGAATTTAATGGGCTGTTCAAAACTGAAGTTTTTGCTTGCTTCTGTTATCTATTCCAAGGTCTGCAGCACATGTGTGATCTAAGCAAAGCGTAAAAGGTTGTTCTCTCTCTCTCTCTCTCTCTCTCTCTCTCTCTCTCTCTCTCTCTCTCTCTCCCCCCCAAAAAAAAAAATTCTGAAATGTTGGAAGGCAGTATGGGCTGCCAGGAGTTCACGGTAAAAAGCGCCATACTTTCTTTTCGTTTCAGACAGTATAATAAAGAAAAAGGTGAGAGGTGGTCAAGGTAGTCATGTCAAGTTAGGTATCTACTGCAATGTTGTATGCATCTACAATGAGACCTGTTGGTGAGTCTCATTGGGGACGGTGTGACAGTATTGATTCGTTGAGTGCCTCTTTAGCTTTTCAAAGTCAGTTTGGTATTCTGTAGACGACTCAAACCGGCACATGTGGTGTAGGCGCTAGGTGCTTTGCTGTCGCACGCAGGAGACCCGAGTTCAGTACTCAAGTGGGGAGAAAGCTTTTGTAGAGTATGTCGGTCAATCTGCTGGGAAGTATGCTTCTCAGCCCGGGTTTGCCCTGGCAGACTGGGTCGGAAGCCCATCTCCTAAGTTATCTAGATCGAGTCAATGGGGGGCGTAAAAATACATGATTTATGGAAAAAAATTGATGACCCAGTGCCTTGTCCTTTGCTTTTTGTGTGAGTGTGGAGCGGAGTAAAAAAATATCAGCAATATGTCGGGTGAAATGGTGATTGTTATTCATCATCCAATGAAAACACTGGAATCTTGGGCCGTTTGCTAGAGCAGAACAGTCGCGCCCAGCCGCTATCCGGTCAGTGATGGGATGTATTCCCCAAGGAGTGACATATGGCGCGTAAAAATTCCCACCCACCCACATCAAAAACACAATTTGTTCTGTCACTGACCACATTATTGACCCAAAGGAGTTGGATTAGTAGTCAAACGTATTAAGATGTTCTTTACATGAGTGTCTTGTTACGGGGATGTCGTCGATGTAGACGAAAGTGAAGATAATGTTCAGCACAAGGCCATTCAACAGACTTTGAAAAGCCTGTGTCGTGTTCTTTGGGTCGAAACACATTCGAAGAAACCCCCAGAGGTCTTGGCACGAGACACCGATGTCGTCGGAATCTGATGGTAGCCTCTAATAATCAAATCAATTTTGGTTGGAAAAAATTATGCGTCCAGAGAGTTGATTGTGGAAATTTTGTATTTGTATATGAGGTAGAGGAAAACAAATCATACTTGATAAAAGCGTAGAGGTGTCTGTAGTCCCCACAGGGTCGCAACTATTTGACTTGGGAACATATACAGGGACAAGGGCCAAGGTGAGTTGGACCGACCGTTAATACTGATACCAATATTTCCTGTGGTCAGGGATTTGGAGGCTGCACGCTTTTTTGGATGCTAACCTCCAGCACGAGAACCAACCGTTGGTCTGTGCGTAATAATGGTGTGCTCCACGCCACGCTTGTTGACAGAGTTGTTGCAGTGGGGAGTGAGAAGCTCAGGGAACTTTTGGGTTGTCTAGAATACACATTATGGTGAAGGAGTTCTAAGCCTGCAGGCAAAAGCAGAGCCTTGATTTCTCTGAACACACAATACATATAATGCCAAAAGCAAATACATGTTTGACAATAACACCAATTGCAAGATTGCTGGCTGCAAAAAAAAAGTCTGAATCAAAGAGGAGTCGAATGACGCCAGCAAGGTAAAACTAATGATTTTAACATCTCCTGGACTCTATCGGTTGCGAAATATTGGACTTACACCAGGCGTGAAAGGAAGTCCCATTAGCTGCCCAGCGCGGAGTGGTAAGTTATCTGTTTTTTAACATTTGCGAAAGCGAGATATACTGATATCTTTGCCGCTGTCTCTACAAGGTAAGCTTTTCCATATTTGCAGCATTTGACGACAGAAAGCGTGTAAGAGTTTGAAACCATTCGCTGCCTCGCTAAGTGGTTGGGTCTTCCGTGTTTCCCGAGGTCTTGGAGAGTAGATAAAGAAGAAACCTTTCCAACAATGTTGATAGATGGGTACATTCGAGTCAAGAAATGTCGATCCCAAGAAGATTTCAAGAGGCACAACCCAACTTTTACCACTTGTCCTGGCTGTCCTCCTCGATTATTCTCCTTTTTTTGGAAAGTGTTTTACGGCGCTCGTAACATTGCATAAGGTCATCGCGCTGGACACATTGAGAGGGGTGGGGGGGGGGGGGCTACACTTGAAAGCTACCTTGCTTATTAATATATCAAATTTGACCAAATTTCACACATAGAACAAGCATAGTAAGGAGTCTTGAAATCCGGAATCAAATTTTAGAAAAAAAAAGTTTCGTTTCCATGGATACGGTGGCCATGTTGGATTTTGTTGATGTAATAACGGCACTTATTTTTTATGGAAATAAATTGTTTGGGGGTTTTTTTTGCATGCAAGTTTGCAAACATTAGATCCACAAATTTGTCTGTCGAATTTTTCCTAAACCAATTTGAACATTTTTAGTGATTTTTTTCCCTTTGGTTGCAAAGTTTGCAAAAACTCCATGAAAATCCACACTCCTGTCAGCACCAACAAAAATCTATTCCACATAAAATTCAATCTAAAAGTTTTTAGTATTAGATTTTTTCTTGATTTTGTGAAAATTTCATGAAGATTGGAGGAAAATAAATGATGGAGTTATCCAAAAAAGTATATAGAAAAACCGCGTTTTGAGAAAACGGGCGATAAAGGAAAATAAAAGATTGACTTTGTGAGGACAAACATGCCCGTTATGGGAAAAAATAACGCGTTATTGCTTTTAAGGCTATGAAATAATTGAAAGAGAGGCTGAAGAAGGCTAAACATGCCTACAACTCAAAATCCATAATTTTGAACCGAGTCGGGACTTTTGGGGTGTACCCCCCGCCCTACTTAACATCTTCAGTTGGTAGGACATTTTGAATTTTGTCCGGGTGGCAGCCGAAGCCTACTCTTATAGATTTTTGGACCACCAAAGAATCTTTAACGTGCGCAACTTGCACACGGGACCTCCGAGATTTTTCACCCTTCTCCGAAAAGGCAAGGTGTAGATCTTTCGAGCCAGGAGATCAGGGGTGTTTCTGAAAGACAGTAATAAGAAGGAGCCAAAGAGTAGCAGTAGGAAGGCTGCAGAAAGCGTCAGGAGCCCAGAGGAGGGGGACAAAGGAGGTGAGAGGGCGGGGGAAGAAAGTGGAGACGAAAGCAGATACAGAGCATTGTTAGAGAGCAGGAAATAATGACACATTAAATGTGAAAGGAGAAGATTTTAGAGAGGAAAATTTTCCATCACTATCCGGATTCGAATCCGTGACCTATTGAAGGAGAGGCGAACACCTGGACCTCTAGGCCACGAGAGCCCCTGTTTAT